TTATTTGAACGTCGATGTTGTGAAGGTGATCCAGCAGATGAAAGGTATCTATATCCTAGCTTCATCCGTAGCCCGAAGAGCAAATATTTTTGCCCTCTTCAATCAGCTAGTCCCGACACAATGTTGACCATTTAATGTTTATTTTGCTTCCACTGACTATATCTTCTGTAGGCAGCAGAGACCACTGCCCTCTTCAGATGATGCTATAAGGGGGCACAAATACAAAGTTAAATAATGTGTGGTGTTGAGCAATGCTAGCTGCTATTTATCAAACTTCCCCCTCTGGTCTCATTCTGAACTCTCAGAAAAATGGCACCAAATTACATGTTTCAATATGCAATTCAATTAAAGGTAAGTATCTCCTAAACAAGGCTTGGTATTGTATGTCTAGTAAGTGGGAGGTGGTTATGTAGATCTCTGTGCAGCCACACTGGCGTTTGTGCTACTTTAAAATGTCTGGTTGGGATGGATAGATAACTAATATTGTGTTTATCTCCATTATGAAGAACTATGTGGTATACTGTTTTATAGGTTCTTACAGCTTACTGTGAACAGTGAGCTCTACTTGGATTATATGCTCTTCAGGAAAGACCTTTGTCCTGTGTTTCTACACAGCCTACCGCAGTGGGCTCCTGGCCTGTGACGGAGGCAATACAAACAACTGCATAGATGGTGCATGGTATAATAGGAAGGTACAGATTATACCACATTGGAATCTGATGCAGCATGCCTCTAAAGTAGTTTTTACAGCCAGGCAAGTGCTTACATCTTACCAAAGTCGTCAGTTGAAATGTCATGCTCTGTGTTAAGAAAAGAATGTATTGTATTGTTACTGGTGGGAATATGATGATTTGAACCTAGACTTCTGACAGAGCGGAGGTTTTGGGAGATGTTTGCAGGGCGAATGTTTAGAGCAGTGATATAAAGGGGATTGCTAACTATCGTTCCTTTTCCAGCCTCCTCAGAACTCATTTAGTAGGTATTCACAGCTGTCAGTTTCTGTGGGTGGTATTTAGGTAGGTAGTTGGATGGGTCCATCTGTTTAAACATGTTCTGAGGGTTAAATGCCTCTTCCATGTTGTATGCGCATTCATCTTCTGTATAACTGATCAGGATTTCCCATAGAGATGGAGTATGGTGTGCTACATGTTCTTGCGTGGTATTACCAGTATCTTTCTTTGTTCTTCAATCAAAAAAAACTTCCCAAAACAAGATATTGCATGTGCATGCTTCCTTGTGGGGACAAGATGGAACAACTGTGATTCATGTTAGTCGTGTTGCTTAATACAAGACGAGGAGATCCTGTGCTACTATGAATAGTACAGTGTAATCTATATAAAACAGGATTGAAGAATAGCTTCTGTAGTTAAATTTTTATCAAAGAATGGTACACTGGACTTTTTTTTACCAGGCTTGGACACTACATGGGGGCCCTTAAGGCTTCATCCCTGTCCCCAACATGATTAGCATTGATCCAATTTCAGCAGACAAGAGTGTGTCATCCAGACCTCCACCCCTCCCATAACTACCCGCGCTAATTAGCAGCCTCACCAGAGAGATGGAAATCCTCCTAGCCCTACAAGATGTGCCTCCAGAGGGTCATTGGTACGGGATGGTTTGGAGACTCTTGCACTTACTTGTGCTTTTCCTGTTCTGTGCGGTTCCAGGGCTTTGGCCTCAGGGGTTGTCCGTGTCACCAGTGCTGAATTTGCAAAACTTTTTTTTTCCATCTTTACAAATCTGCATCCAAGTGGGAGCAACCTCTTAAGTCAGGTTGCAGTGCCTGCTGGGAAGTAACAAGACTTAAAATGCAATTGAATGCCATGTTTAGTTCCAGCTAGTACATATTTAAATACTATAATCACAGCCTTCTTCCTCCAGCCCTTGAACCGTGAGGCACTTGAACAAACAGAATTGGCTCCCATTTATTCCTCCATTTTTGCTAACAATAATGAAAATACTTCACTGTTTCCATAGCACATGTAAGTCGTAAATCTTCAAGTGCTCTGAGGGTGGGGAGTATCATTTATTCTTGTTTTAATGGGGGATACAGGCTCTGGGGGGAGGGGCTTGTCCAATGCCAGTATGACTCAGGCCGTATTGGGAACCGAATACCCTTCCTGCCTTCAAGGCAAAGGTCCCATCCACTAGAGAAGAGTCCCACATCCTTCAATTACATAAATTATGCAGTCCTTCAGCCCAGGGCTGCAGTTCCTCTCTTCCCCCACCCCTAAAAATAACTGCCTCGTAGGCGGTCAGTCCATCCATCTTCAGAATTGGTCATGGTTTCTCCTCGAGCCAAAGGTTCTTCAAGTCTATCACAGCCCAAGAGTGAGGGTTTAATTTTAATCTGGCTGAGCACCATTAACAAAACGTGCTCAAATGCAGAGTGTCAGTCTTAAATTCAATTCCAATGCTTTTTCCACTTCAGGAAAAGTGTCCCATCCTGTCCCCACTGTAGCGACAGGAAAAAGTCAGGTTTATCAATCTCTCTCTGCCTTTCGGGAGCTGGTTGGAAGGGTGAGCAGAGCAAATGAGAGGATGGTCTAGTTGAAAGGATAGAAAAGGAGTCAGGAAATCAGGGTTCTCTTCCAGTCTCTTTCCTGCTCAGTAAACTGGGGCTAATACTGCTCTACTTGCATGGGTGTTGTGTGAGGCCTAATTCATTACTGCTTGTGCAGTGCACTGAAATCCTTGCTGAGAGAAGGCACAATCTTTTACATGCTCAAATTGAGCAGCAAGCAGGGAATTGCTGAAGTTTGTCATCAGGCCTGATTGCTCCCTGAGAGCTTTCCGTGATCGTGCACAGCTAGAAAGTCCACTAGATGGTACTATAACTCCAGTCTGCACTAGCCGCTCCAACTATAAAATAGGGGAGGAAATGCCATCTG